GCACGCACACACACACAGGGTGGGGTGCTGGCCTGGAACTCAGTCCTTCTCCCCCAGGCTCCTGAGTGCTAGAATATAGGAGTGTGATGCTGTGCTCAGCTTTAATATGTTTGAAATGTTCCCAATTAGGCAGGGCAAAAGGGGAAAAAAATACATTCTTGTGCTTTCTTTGGGAGAATTATCTAGAAAGGAGTTCTAAATGCAAAGTGGAATACTCAGCACGAGGCTGAAGTTTAGGGATGGGTATTTGGTGTCTTGGCTCTTGCTGGTGTAACCTGGGTCCCTTTTGTGGTGTGTACAAAGAAACCTAGGCTGAGACAGTCCTCCCAGCCTGAGGTCACCTGATCCAGAGTGGGCTTTCTCACTGCCTCAGTTGTGGGTTTTACCTTGCTGAAGTTGAACTTCACAAATCTCTGTCCTTGAACCAAGAGTGAGCCTGCAGCTCCAGTCAGCACCTTCCTGTGACTTGCATGTGAGGCGATTGCTTCGTGGATGGGGCACGGCCTTGGCTCCTCTTTAAGAGCCCTGCGGCTGCTCAGTGGGTCCTGTGCTCAGACCAGCACCTGTGCTCAGAGTGTGGGGATTTATTTCCAATGCGCATCTGGGAACCCTGGCCATGTTTGCTGTTAGTGAAGACAGGCATCTTGGGGACTCTCAGCTATTTTCCTTGGCAGCAGCTCTCTCTCTCTCTCTCTCTCTCTCTCTCTCTCTCTCTCACCATTTACCACCACAGCTGCTCAGACACGGCCAGTGCCTCCCTCCTAAGACCTTCCCTTCCTCCTGCAGTGCCTACATTCTGTTTTTAGGATGGGTTAGAGTCCCGCTGCTTTGCCTCTCCACTCCATCTTCTATTCCCGTTCCCGACAGATGCCTTGAATTTGTTCCCTTCATTGAAAACATGAGGGGAAACAAGAAAGAAGCAACAAGGCCACCAATTAAGAAATGACTCACTTCTGTTTCAGGAACCCTATTACCGTTCATCCAGCGCCACAGTGCTCATGGTACAATTTCTCAACAGGAAACACCTGTATGGATTATTTCACTCTAGCCCCATGATGCTTGGACTGGAGTCCCTCCCAGACCCCATGGACACCTGGGAGATTATAGAGACCATTGGCAAAGGCACGTATGGCAAGGTCTACAAGGTAGCCAACAAGAGAGATGGGAGTCTGGCCGCGGTGAAGGTTCTGGACCCTGTCAGTGTGAGTAGAGGAGGGGACTGTAACAATCGTCTATCGTCTCGGACACACTGGCCTTGTGACTTCTTTTCCTGATCTTAGTGATAATTTTCATGAACGCTGGCAGGAAATCTCGAAACGAATCCTGGTTTGTCAGCGCCTCTGAAGGAAAGGACTTGGCGTGGAGTTAAAACTTTCCTGGACTTGCCAGGCATGATGGAGGGCATTTTCAGTCCCAGCACCCAGAGGAGTGGGGAGGGGGCGGAAGCAGGCAGATCTCTGAGTTCAAAGCCAGCCTGGTCTACAAATCAAGTTCCAGGACCATCAGGGCTAAACCAAAACCAACTAACCAATCAAAACAAACCCCCAAAACTTTCCTGGATTTTGGTTTCTTGCCTGTTTCATTGAAGTTTTGGCTTTAGCACCGTGGGCTTTTAAAAATTATTCTTTTGGAAAAATGCTATACTTCACTCCCTGTCCTTTCTGTAAGTTACAAAATGAACCAGCCTCTTGACAGTCAATCATCTGTAGTGACATTTTATTTCAAAGCACCAAGGTTACCATACTCTGCACTGGTCTGCACAGTGAAGTTGTATCTTTGAAAATTCAGATTTTTTTTCAATAAAAAGACATTTATAATAATAATACGGTTAAGAAAAAAGTATTGTAAAGAAATGTTACTGATTATAATGACCAAAAGGTTGGCATTGGGATCAAAATAGCTGCTCATGGGTGTTCTGAATATATGACAATGATGGCTTTAATATAGAGTCCAGTGTGGTGGCACATACTTGTAATTCCAGCCCTTGGGAGGTTCAGGCCTTGGGGGATTTGGGCTCAAGCCATCGATTAATAAATCATTTAATAAATTAATTAATAAATCAATGCCCTATCTGTACCTTTCCTTACATACCAGTCTCAATCAAGCTTGTCTTTTTCTTTTTCAACCTGTTTAGGATATGGACGAGGAGATCGAGGCTGAGTACAACATTCTGCAGTTCCTTCCCAGTCATCCCAACGTCGTAAAGTTCTATGGAATGTTTTACAGAGCCGACCGCTGTGTGGGAGGGCAGCTGTGGCTGGTCCTGGAGGTAGGTGCTGCCGTTGGGTGGGTGCAGCGGGAGGAGCTGACTCCTCCTTAGTGTGGGATACTCGAACAGATGTGTGTGAAGGAGGTTTCCTGTTTCTCTGCTTCAAAACCCCCTGATCTCTTTCCTTCCACCGTGGAGTGACTCTAGGAATCCAGTTGGGAAAATGCTATTGTGTCTATAAACTGGAAATGCGTCACAGAACTCATGCTCCAGCTTAGCTGCCCCTCCCCTCTTGGTTTTTGAACTCTGCCCACGATGCAGTTGCCTGGTGCCACTGGCATTCGCCTGCCCGTGTTCGTGGGCTTCTGAAAACCCAAGTCTGAGAGCGGTGTGTGGAAGGTTTCCTAGAGAATCCTGGCAAGAGATTAGCTGAGAGGGAAGCCAGGAAGGCACTGGGGCAGGGAGAAGCTAAACAGCACTCAGATTGTAATCAGGGCCTTGGCTGGTTCTCCAAGGAGATGGCCGTCCAGGAGCCTGTTCATAGTTGTCCTCAGCTGTGCCTCTGCCAGCCAGAGAGAGTGACTCCAGGTAGGTAGCCTCCTGTAGTTAGGGGCACTCCCTAGTGAGAGGTGGCTGGGAAGAGACTTTCCCAGCAGCCTCTGCTCTGCAGAGGGGCTCCAAAGAGAACACAGCGTGTGTACAAATGTTCCACTTTCTCTCCTTTATTAATGGGAATGAGTGCTGTCTGGATGTAGAAGACTGAGTCCCCTAAGTTATATTCCCCGTGAGACCGAAGATAACAAAGACAATAGGACCAGTCATTTGCTTTATTCTCACTGGGCCCGCCCTGATTTGTCTTGGGCCCAGCTCCTCTGGACCAGCTCTCACCTCCCAGCCCATGGTCATCAGAATGACACACACACAGGGCAAGGACATGTTCGGACACCTTAAGAAAGAAGGCCACGAGCCACCCTCCCTTCACTGACTGGTGCCTCTTGCTCCAGTCTTCCCGGATGTGGGAAAGCCTGAAAATGGGACGGTATGTACTGGCTGCCATGGCAACCATGGATGGAGAATTCATTATTATATCCAATGTGATAATCTACAAGGAAGCTAGTCCCAATATTTCTGGCACATTAGCTGCCTTCTTCACAGTCTAGCAATGGAAGGGGTTTTGGTTTTTATGAATCATCTTTGAGATTTTAGTCAGTATGTTAAATCAAATATACATTTTCCTATCGTCTTTTGGGTTTTATTAACCAGCTCTACCATACCCTTCACCTGAAAATGTTAGGGTTTTATGTTGCCGCAAAGCTGTGTGACCACTGATTCTTTGTTCAGGAATGCGCAGTTTCTGGACTCTGCTATTCATCTGCTCTGTAAGAGCTCTGTTCTTCCTTGTGACTTCATCATGAAAATACAGTAACCAAGACATTTCCTTTTTTACTCATTTCCTTCTCTGCACACCCCGCCCCAACCCCACCAAACCCTAAACATCTCTGTGTTCCGACAAAGGGCGCTGAAACCTTCAGAAATTCTCCAAGGCTTGTCAAGGGTCTGCTCCGCGAGCTGCGGGCAAGCAGGAGGCTGCTCATCCCAAAGGTGCTTATGAGCCAAGGCTCTTCCTGATGAGGTGAGATGGCAGACACAGCACCTCAGGTGTATCCAAGGCAACCAAGGAAGCTGTAAATAATGAGGCCATGCCCTGAGCCTCGTGCTGGTGCTCCCTGCCCAAACACCTTTTGCTTTTCCCAGTCAGCCAGGGGCAGGTAACAGGGCCGCTCAGCGACCCTGAGTGACTTAACCCTCAGCGTGTGATGTGCTGGCACTTATGATCTGGATGGCAGTTTTGCCAAAGCTGGTAGTGTGGAATGCTCTCTCCTGTGTCCCAGCATGGACCATCTATAGCAGGCTGCTGGATAGCCAGATGTGACCAGTGCCTCCACAAGTCAGGGGCAGAAGTCCCCAGTTTCCTTCAGTTTTAGTCTCTTGGTATTCCATGGACGGCCACAGGGCAGAGAGGGGAGGGACATGCTCCCATGACCATGACCAGTTTACAAAACTGGCATCAGCTTTCCATCACTATAACAAAATGTCTGAGACAAATCAACTTTAGAAGGAGACACCTCTTTTGGTTCATGGTTAGAGGGGTTTCACTCCTGTGATCAGTTGGCTTTTGGGCTGGGGAGGAGATAGTTTACCTCATGATGGTCATAGACTGAAGAGGAAATAGTTCACCTCATGGTGGCTTGGAGGAAAAAGAAAGACCAGTGTCCCAACATCTCTATCAAAGGCAGAGCTCCAATGGCCTAACTTCTTCCCACTGGGCCTTGCCCACCAAAAGGGCCGCTGCCTCCCAACAGCACCATGTGATGGTGGTCAGGGTCTTTGGGGACACCGACTGGCCTACTCACACAGCAGGATGACGGCTGGCCGCAGGGTACCCCAGGGTTCTGCTCCACCTGTGGCTAGTTCTGCTTTGGGAGACTCACAATAAAATGACAATGCATTTAGTGTTGTCCTCCTCATCCATTACAGTGAGATTAAACTTCTATTGCCTTTGCTCTTCTCCTGCTGGATGCCAGGGAGGAGCTATTTCATGGAGTAATTTTAGAGGGTAGAAAAAGGTTATTAATAAGCTCCTCAAATCACCGCAACTATGAAAACAAAAGCAAATAAAAATGTCATCTCTGAAATTCATTGCCAATTTGTTAGTTGAAAGCAAGCAAAACTCCCTTCACGGTAGACACCTTCTGCATTAGGAGGGCATGGACCGGCACACTGGCGTGTGATGTGTTGGGCAGCGTGCATTTGTCTTAAGTATTAAATTGATTCATCCCTGAGTCCCATTTTGTCTTACCCAGATAAGATGTGATAAGAAATTAGACCATTGAGAGCAGCGCAGTAGTCAGAAATGGCATCTAATATGTACTAAGGCATGCTAAGGCATGCTTTCTTTTTCTTTTCTTTTCTTTTCTTTTTTTTTCCTTTTAGGACAAAAGCCTTGACAGGTAGACAGACTAATCATTTCAGCCTGAATCAAATGCTCAACTTTTGAAAAATCATTTAGAGTACCATGAAAAGGTTGTAAAGAAAAAAAAAATTAAAGTTAAGGAAAAAAATATCAAAGTAAAAGAAAGCAAAAACTCTGCCTTTAAAGTAAGTAAAATAATTGGCTTTAAAAATAATCTGTTCCCCTACCCTGCCTAGAGATCAAAGGGTGAGTTCAGAATCTGCAGAGCCAGACAGATGAAGAAGAAAGGGGGTGAGGAAGGAGACAAGGCTGGGAGAACATATACTCTACCGAGCTCTTGCTTTTATTCAGGCCCTAGAAGTCCAGTCCAGTCCCAGATGTCACCGGAAGTGTTGAGCAGCAAGCCATGTGCACCCATTAACACTGCGGCTTGAGTTAGGTTTACCAAGTCGAGGACAGAGGTCTGAGCAGGACACTGATGGGGAAGAAGGGTTGGTAGGATGTCACATGTTCTAAGCTCGGCACTCCGAGCTTACTCTGGAGAGTCTAGAACACAGTGAAGGAGGATGCCACACTTCCGGCAGGAGGAGGGAGGAGCTTTGAAAAGCAGAGCAGCGCTGCTGCAGGCTCAGACGGTCTCTGGTTTCAGTACTCTGGCCCAGGGAAGACTGAGGGGAAGCTGAAGCCTCCAGTCCAAACACCTCTCTAGGGCTGAGCACCTCCCTGCTGGAAATGGAGCTCCTGGGATGTAGTTTTTCATTTGCGTAGTTGCAAGTCTGACCTGGTGTTCAGTAAAATCAAGATTATCTGTCCCAACTCGAGTGGCAAACTGAGCTGTTTTCAACTACCGAGAGGCAGCCATGCTTCTTCCGATGGCATCTCCTCAAGTAATTTTGGCTCTTCATGCGTTTGTAGAACCTCACACCCTTGAAAGACCTTGACACCCTACTGATCGCAAGGCACTGCAAAGAACTCCTTAGTTCTGCCATCTCACGTAGTCAAACAAACACCCTGGTACAGGAGATCCTTGACAGCTGGAGCTGAGGCTAGAACAAGGGTCTGGCGACTGTGCTGCCTGAACCATTCCTTAATAACACAGAGGAAAGCTTATGCCTTTATTGAGCAAGGAACATTTTGCTGCTTGAAGTTATGATCTGTCCTGATGGACGCACACGCTGTGATTGAGTCGATATTCAATGATGTTTTGAAAATGAGATGTGAAATGTAAATGACTTTTCTTTTTCTGTTTTTCTTAGTTTGTAGCAAAATGCTCATTAAATTCTAAATGCACCCAGCCATCTCATTTCCTAAACGCTGAGGGCGTAGGGAGGAGCTGTGGGCTGGAGACGGACCTCAGTGGTTGAATCTGATGGCTGGCAGAGCTTTCGGGAAGGATGGGCTTTCGTGCCAACCCTCATGGTTGGGGCAGGGGACTAGGGTGTCTTTTGACAACTCTAGGGGATTATTTTATTGGATGGATTTGAGTATACTTTCTCGTTTTATTTATAAAAGGCTCCGCCCATTTCACTCAACATTGGCTCTCACCAGTGTGCGTCTGCTTTCCCCTTTCGTAGCTAAAGTTACCACAGTCTTTTAAAACCTTGCTAGTGGCCTTATCAGGGATACAAGACAGCTTCCTCTGAGGCAGCCCGAACAGTTTAATTACACCTCTGTAAATTCTGGAAATTCAAACAACTCTTAACTCTGGCATTTACTGAACAAAAGACGCTGGCTGAGTAAGACCTCTTTGTGTTTCATTTTGTTTTTCTGAATTCACAGCTGACTTTCAATCCTACTTTTTCTCCCTTCCTACGTTCTGAAGTGATGAAGAAAGGTTCCAAGTTTGCTCCCTAAGTCAAACGTGCTAAAGAGGCCCATGTCACACAATCAGCCATACTCAGAGGAGAGAAGGGAAGAGAAGACTACGAGTCCTCAGGGGGAAATTTCTAGCATTGAATTAGCTTGGGCCAACACCCAGAGTTTAAATGTCCGAGTGGTAGGAGTTCAGCATTCCCCTCCAAAAGGAAGCATGCCTGTCCCTGGGAGTGGAGCCCAGCTGGGGAGTGGTCCTGATGGATCTGTTCTTAGGCTCTGCATCTGGAGGAGCAGAGAACCACACTTTTTTTTCATCTCCTTGTATCCGTCGACTGCATCTTCACCTTCCACGTTGAGGTGCTGAGAAACCCACTTTGATTCTGTTTCATAAGCAACTCATGACTTGGCTTTGGGCCCTGTCTCCCTTGGTTGCTGTTCTTTCTATGGTGTACATGTGAGCATCGGTTAATGTGTGTGCATGTGTGTGTACCAATGTTTAGAAGGTAAAGATCAATATTATTTCTCAGTAGCTCTCCATCTTATCCTTTTAAACAGGACCTCTCACTGAACCCATTGCTCACCAGTTCAGGAAGATTGTCTGGCCAGAAAGCTCTAGGGATCCACCTGCCTCTCCTCTCCCCAGTGCTGGGGTCACTGACACCTAGCTGTTTCTGTGGGTGATGGGAACCTGGACCTAGGCCCTCATGCTTGCATGATGAGAGAGAACTCTGCCAACTGTGCTGGAAAGTTGTATGCCAGCTTGACACAGCTAGAGTGAACAGAGAGATGGGAGACTCAACTGAGATAATACCTCTATAAGATCAGGCTGTAGAGATGTCTGTGGGGAATTTCTTAATCAGTGATGGGCGGGGGCAGGCCCAACAACTGTGGGTGGGGCCACCCCTGGGCTGGGAGGTCCTGGGTTCTGTAAGAAAGCAGGCTAAGCAAGCCAACAAGTAGCATTTTCCTTGACCTCTGTGTTAGTTTCTGCCTCCAGGTTCCTGCCCTGTTTGAGTCCCTGTCCTGACTTTCCTCAGCGATGAACAGTGATCGGAATTGTAAGCCAAATAAGCCCTTTCCTTCCCAAGTTGCTTTGCTTATGGAGTTTCATCGCAGCAATAGTAACCCTGACTAAGGCACCAACTGAGCTATCATTCAGCCTTCCCCCGAGGATGTTTTCAAAGTTCCCGATGGATAGCCTGTGTCTGACACTGCTGTCCTCAGTTCATCATTTGCCAATCTGCTGCCACAATTATCTTTCCAGAATGTAGGCCTCCACCCTGAGACCTCCTCTATAGCCACTCATGTGCCTTACGTCATGATGCCACAGTACTGAACTAGACATAGTATAGCGTGATAATGCTCATTCTGTTTTACCTCCCACCTCCCTCTATTCCAAGAGCAGCAGCGTGGATAAAATTCCTTCATGCTCCCCCTCTTTGCACAGGATTTCTCCAGCTCCTTTGCCCCAGACGCTCTTCCATGTCCTGCTCCAAACCCATTTGTCGTTCAGACTTGTGTCTGAAATGCTGTCTCCTCTCCCCTCTCACCCTCCCTCAATAGAGTTCTCCCTCCCGCCTGAACGTTCATGTCATCTTACGATTGACAGGTGACAAGCAGTCTAATTGCAGCCACGGGGGGGAAAAACGCGAACACCGGATGTTGTCTGTCTTTTCACACAGCTAGAGACCAAAGAGTTTGGAGCCCTTTGGATGTCTGTCACTGTGACAAAATCCCTGGCGCAACTCACTTCTGAGGAGAAAATGCTAGCTTACAGTTTCAGAAGTCCCAGTCCATGGCTAGGAAGGCCTATAGTTTGGAGCCTCTGGTGGGAGTGGTGACGGAAATGGAACTCTGGCAGGACAAACTTCTCATCTAGTGGCCAGGACCACTCATGTAATGGGGAGTATGCCCCAAGGATCTAAGACTTCCCACAGGGTCCTTCTTCCAAAAGGCCCATAGCATCTCCTAATAGTGCCACCCTGGAGACCAGTGCTTTAATGGATGAAGCTTTTGGGGACACTCAACATCTAACCTATAGGAAGATAGAATGTTGAAATACAGCAATTGGGACGTGAAAGCCAATGGGGTTGAGTGGTCAGTTCAACTTGCTATTTTCAGACTGCCCGGAGGTCAGTGGCCCGGAGGTCACTTAACATAGTATCAAACCCAAAGGTTTTCATAGTCTTCAAACACTTCATTGCTTCGAGGTTCCCTACAGAGAATCTCCTCATAGTAATTTAGTGCTAATTTTAAGGATTTCGTGTTTTCCTATTAGGGTTTTAGTCACACCCTTATGAACAACTTAAATGCCAAAAGCTCGGGCATTTCATTCCTAGCTCTTTGACTGTTACTGTACAAGGATCTACAAACACACGGCGGGGATGGTACCCATATCAGATAGAAGCACAAGCTCAGCCTTCATCAGATGCTGCAGCTGTTCCTAACTAGAGTGGACCAGCTCCTAGGATGCTGTTGTCTCTGTTAGTATAGCAGCTGATCTGTGCTTCCTCTGGCTTCGTTATGTAAGCAAGCCAGTCCACTCCAGGGGAGCACCCCCACACACACACACTCACTAGTTCACTCTTCTTTCAGACTAAGCACCACAGGGAGCACAAGTCTCTAAAGTAGGGTTTTTACATAAGCTCAAGGATGGCTGCTGGCATCTGAGGATAGCTCTGAATTTGCTCCCCCGGAAAAAAAATTGCAAAATGTGTGTACTCCCTGCCGTCCATTGGTGCCTTGTTTTAAGGTGGCTTGTAGCAAACCCATACTGAATTCTGCAGTTAGTATAGTTTATCTCTGGGAAAACAAAACAAAACAAAACAAAACAAAAAAAACCTCTAAATTGCTGGGACAGTAAGACTTTACCTACTCTATGTACTCACACTTTGATATATACACTATAAGATAATGGACAGTGTGCAGGTAAAAATCTTAGGATGTCTTAAATTATGGACAGGGAAAGAGGGAGGGAAGGAGGGAGGCTGGAGAAAGAGAGAGAGGGAGGGAGAGAAGGGTGGGTAGCTAAAGTCTCCTAAAGCCTCGGGTTGAACCAGAGAGAGCTAAGCACACCACAGGTCTGACAAACACTGACACCCTTAGAAGAGTTACTGGTCAAGCCCCAGATGCCTGCTGCCAGCAGGGAGTCAGGAGGGTTTGGAATCCCTGAGATTTGTCTCTCGTCTGGCATCAAGGGCATTCATCTCGCCTTTTCAGTTTTCTGTTCATCCTCAAAATGCATTTTTTAAAAGACAATAGTCACAAAAAGTGAAAAGTATCCAGTAAGTTACTATGGTTACCTATATGCCTTTTCCTTCAAATTTTTAAGTAATAACTTGTGCTTTTGTATTTGGCTTGGCAAATTAAAAAGTCATCTTTAGGTATAAACTTATTCACTCATAAGTCATTACTTTGAATAAAAGGTACACATGCACAAAGAAACTGATTTGGCTGGCTTATAGAAACTTGCAATCTAATTATTTCAGTCTGGAATTTTGTGATCTGCAAACTTACCACACTGTCAGTAATCAGTAATTTTTTTTTTTCTTCTAAGCATATTTGTCTTTTCTTTTCGTTTGGGTTCTCTGGCTCCCTCTCTGTCCCGGATCTCTTCTCCCAGCTGTGTAACGGGGGCTCTGTCACTGAGCTTGTCAAGGGCCTCCTAAGGTGTGGCCAGCGGCTGGATGAAGCTGTGATCTCCTACATTCTGTACGGAGCCCTCTTGGTAAGGATGTCCATGGTGTGGGGGACAGTTCGTGCACTGCTTGGCTCCTCACTGCATGTTAGCAATGGGAATTTGACCTCGGGATGGTATAGAGCCTACTCTGGACTTTTATTAGACCGTTGAGTTCATTTGCTGACAGCTGAGATTTTCCTCTCTTTGTCTCCCTGTCCTCGGTGGCACTGGGACACCACACAGGGCCTTCAGCATTTGCACCATCACCGAATTATCCACCGGGATGTGAAGGGGAATAACATTCTTCTGACGACAGAAGGAGGAGTTAAGCTCGTTGACTTTGGTAATGACTGTGTCATTTGTTTTCTCGATGTGTGCAGTTTTAGCCAAAGGGGACAATTTATTGCAATCTCTGAAGAGTGGGGCCTCTTCTGAGCACCACAGGCTCGGGGACTTTCCAGGCAAATGGGCCCGAGTGTAGGGGGCTTCCCAGATGGATCACCCTTGGAGAAGCTTTTTTTTCTAATTATTTTCAGCTTTCGGAGCAATTTTGTTAAAAGCTAGAAAATAAAAGTTTTGCAAAAGAAAAACCTAACAGAAAAATGATATTTTGGCTTTGTTTGTTTGTTTGTCTTTTTCTTTCTGTGAAAGTTTTCCACCTCAGGGCAATTGTCTGCAATTTACATTTTTCATCTCTCTTTTGCATATGAAAAGAGAAAACAGTTTGGTTTTTTAAATGACTTTCTCTAGCCTTGGGCATACTTATTTGCAGTGCACAGAAGGCAAACTGGTCCTCTGGGCCGGGGAGACATGAAATTCTAACTAATGCTTCAACACATGCACAGGAGGCTGGTTGACCTAGAAACATTAACAGGAAATGCAGACGGTATCACCTGAGGCCAGAGAATACTGACTCTTCTCCCAACATTCTGTTTTGATAGTCCTAAACCAACAAGCCATTTAGTTTTCCTCTTTTTTTTTGGCATATGGAATGGTTTACTTTGCTAAATAAGTTCAAGGTTAGTTAGTACTTCTGGGTTATTGTTACAAATAATGAGAAACCATTTAGAACACTCCAAAATGTTACCAGCATCACCATAGTAAAAATAAGACAGTGGTTTTTAATACTCATTTTTTTTTTTTATCGGTAAGAAATAACTTGGTATAGGATGTGTCAGCAAATTATTTGTGAAGGAGTTATTTAAGAATAAATGAAGTTGGGGCTAGAGAGATGGCTCAGTAATGTAGAGCATCTGTTGCTGCCAGAGCCTCTCTGGAGGCTCACAGCTGTTTGTAACTTCAGTTCCAGAGGGCATGGCACTTTCTTCTGGCCTATTCACTCTCCTGCATGACTATGGTACACATACATACATACATACATACATACAAAACATTGATACACATAAAATAAAAATACATTTTAAAAATGGAGTTTCTTTAGGTATGTAGACCTGTGTTTTAAGAGGCCAACCAAGAAAAAAGGTAGAGGAAACCTTGTCCAAGGCTCTGCTCCTCTGTCAATAGAAGGAACGACTAACTTGTAGCGATGTGCTGTAGAGGCAATGTATTTTCCACATGGCCCTGAGGGCATTTAGTATGCCAGAAGGGAAATAGCCTAGATGGGTGAGGAGAGGACTTAAGACCACTTTGTCTAGGTGTCAGCTCTGTGAGCTTCTACAGAGAAAATGTTCTTAATCTTTCCAGTACAAAGTGCCTGGACATCCAATTGCTGTAAAAGAAATTTCTAGAAATTAAAAGCAGAAAGGTGTAATTGTTTGTTACTGTGTTGTTATGGAGGATGTGGCAGAGTGGGAATTATCTGTGGCACTGTGACCTGCGGATAGTCCCAGCTACTGGGAAGGCTGAGGTGAGGGACTCATTTGAGTCTGGGAGTTTGAGACCAGCCTGGACAACACAGCAGAGACCTTGTGGGTGCTGGGCGATGGCTCCAGGTGGCTTCTAGGCTCTATAAGAAAGAGAATGCAAATGGCAAACCCAGGAACCAACCCAGGGTTTTCTGCACATCTTGAAGGCCCCATAGTCCCTAGGTGTGCCCGTTGCTAAGCAGCACACAGTATTAAGGCTTGAGCTCGTCTGCAGTTGCAATGGTGCCAAGAGTCTTCATTTTCTTCAGTGCTGTGCTAGACTTCTGCTTAGTATAAAAAAATGCACTACATTTATAAAGTACATGACATGATTATCCTCCTATTTAGTCTTAGAAGAATCTATATGTTAGGTGTGATTGTTGCCATGATCCCCAGTTTGAAGATGGTAACACTGAGGCTTGGAGATGTGGCTGTCACACCACTAGTGAAAGGCATCATGGGAACTGGAAGGCGAGTGGGTCTCCCAACTTTTAACTCAGCCTACATTTAGTCCCACTTTATTTGATGGTACAGAGAAGAGAGGTCAGCAAAGGACACTGGAATAATATTAAAATTCAGGTCTTCAACGTTGAGCTTTAGATAATAATGCTGTCAATTTCTTTTTCCATTTGAGAAGCATTGCTTTCTTGCCAAGTTTCTAGTCTTGTAGGCTAGATAAGGCACTGAAATCTTTTTGTGTCTACACTGATGCTCTATTACAGATAATGCTTGCCAATCTTCCTCCTCCATAAAATGAAGCACTTATTAAAGAAATCATCTGAAATAATTGGAAAACATAATAGGAAGATATTTTAGGTTGATCATGGTTGTTGATGTTTTTCTTTATGTTCCAAATTTGCAGCTATATGAGCATGAATTATCATTGGGAAACAAGTTCTGATGATTTAGATAGAATGATCAAAATGCCTTTCAGACTTTAGCAAAGTACTGCCCATGGGACAAATATGCTCACCTTCTATTTTTACGTAGCCCGTGACCTAAGGACTATATATGTGTATGTAAATAGTCATTGTACTTTGAGAGCAAATCTTGTGATAGCTCAGACTGGCCTCAAACTCACTATGTAGCCCAGGTTTAACTCTTGATGCTCCTGATTCAGCACGATCCCAAATGCTGAGATTGCAGACTTGTGCTGCCATGCTTAGTCTGATTTTTATGTTTTTAACGTGTGCTAAAAACATAAAGAATATATGACCTGTGAAAACTATGCTCAGTTCAGATTTCAGGATCCACAAGTGAAGTCTTGCCTAGGTATGGCCACACTCATTCCTCTATTTGTCTTCTGTGACTGCCTTACACTCTGGCAGCAGTTAGTAATTGTGAAAGGGACCACGACACCTAAAACAATTACTATCTGAACTTTTATAGACAACATTGCCAACCTCTGTCTAGCATCTTATGCTCTCTGCTAAATTCTGGTACCTTTTTCCTGTAGGTGTCTCTGCTCAACTTACAAGCACACGCCTGCGGAGAAACACATCAGTTGGGACCCCTTTCTGGATGGCCCCTGAGGTAAGCGGGAAGTAGCACCCTTGTTGAGCGCCTTGATGCTGTGCCTTTTTGTGGGCAAGACATATGCTCTCTACAATTTTCAGGGAGAAAAATCCTTCATCCTTAGAGAACTCTAAAATCCTCGATGGTGAGAGATACTGATAAGACACAGTCTCAGAGAATCAGGATTAAGTCACAGCCAGCCCATAGGTTGTCTTCATGTCATTAGGAAAAGCTGACCCTCCGGGAAATGTAGCTTTCTTCCAGGGTCACAGCTTGGAAAAGTCCATCCAGCCTTTGTCTACATTAGAAAGATGCCACCTTTCCTAGATAAACACAGCCCACAACCCATGGCTTGGTGGCGAGCCTCATTTTAGCTTCAAGCAGCCCACCAAGCCTCATGCAGTTTCTGTGGCTGTTTCTGTGGCAATTTCTACCACATACACAGCAACTTCTCCTGTATACATTGTTAGCTTTCTGTAATTGACCAGGACTTGGTCCTAATTCAGTTTTGGCCTCAATACAGAGCTGGGGCATGCAGAAGTCGGGGAGCTGTGCAGCTAGGCAAAGCACGGGTGTGTGAGTCACCTTCGCTGTCCCCAGCACTCTGACCTTCACCTGAAAGCAGTTCTCTGGGGGGAATCAGAGGACACAGACAGTCACCTCCCTAGGTGGCTTTCTGTCTCTGCTCTGTCTGCGTGGTCTGTACGATGGCCCACATGGTCTCCTAAGGCAGCAGGTAGCTCATACCAGTCTTTAATCAGTTTTCCTCAATGTTCCCCGCTATATATGGCCTTCCGGTTTTTGTTTGGATAATAGGCCCACTTTAAACAAAAAGAAAAAGCTGGCAGACTACAGCATTTATTTATTATAAATGTTTCTTAAGTAGGTTTAGAAGTATATAGATCTAAACTGTCAGTCACATGTTTATAGATCTACAGAAAAATGTTTAAAGACGACAAAGCCAGTAACTTTCAACTCGGCGGTTTGAGACAGATTGTTTTTGTGTTTTGCAGTGTGATTGTGTGTCAGCACCCAAGTATGGGTTCTCTGAGTTGGGAAGTCAATACATGTGTTGACTTAACCGCTACACTCCCATTCCCCCCTCCCCCCCCCATTTGGCTACATTTCAGTCCATGTGATCTCTCCTTGCACACAGTCTCCTCTGGCTTCCAACTGTCGCTTTCTGTGAGCCAGGCACAGTTTCACAGTAAGTGAATGCGGAGACTAAAACCATACGGCAAATAGTTACCCAGATGATCTGGGATGTTTGTGTTTGTGGCAATGCAATCAGTGAGGTAAAAATGAAAAAAAAAAATACATTTTTGGGGTGGTGAACAGACCCTCCTATCACATTCTATCTAGCCTTTTTTTTTTTTTTTTAATCTGTCCACTTTTAATCTGTTCACTTTCAATTTCTCTCTCCTATGCGACTTCTTAACTCCCACAGCAGTGAGCAACAGATTTATCTCCTTCATCTCTGGGCCGCACTGAGGCTCTTGATTATCTCGATGTCTGAAGTTTGTCACCGTAGATCTCACACCCCCAACTGACCATGAGCCTGTTGAGGGGCAGGCCCCCCAGGACTGCTAACCTCTCTGCTCCCTGCCGGCTCAGGGTTGGTGATCCGAGAATGTTTTCTGGATAAATGAGTATGTGGGCCAGAGGGCTAAGATGAGCGGGGTACAGCTCAAGGAAGGCTCCTATTGGATTGGAAATTCCTCTTTAGAATTCAACCGATATGTCCTGAAATGGAAGCTAACCAAGTGGGGAGTCTGAGAAGTGGGACCCTGATGGCATCACTCAGGAGCAGCTTTCTGATGGCCCCATGCTGGCTTCTCTTAGGGAGAGCGCTGGATCCCGGCCTGCAGTTTTGGCCTGAACCATCCTCACAGTTTTAATTTTTGAAACAGAGTATCCCTTTTCCCAGCCAACCTTCGCTCTGCTCTGTCACCCTTCATGAACAAGCATAGGAACAACCTCCCATCTGTCAGATGAGCATGGCAAGCACTTGCTTTCCACTGCAAGCAGGCTGTGCCTCAAATGCAGTCTTTGAAGAGTATAATCAGGAATGGTTCAAATTAGCATTGTCTTCAAGTGAATCCTAAATAGGCTATCGATTGTAATATGCTTTTCCCTCAGTCTGTGTGAATAAGTGGAGTCAGATTAAATGCAACAACAGTGTCTGGGCTAACAAGGCCAGTGGAACCAAACCTGCACATGGCCTATACTTTATTTTTGAAACACAACAAGAGGATCCTCGATCTTATTTTATTTCTGAGAAATCTAACCCTCATTTCCTTCCATTTCCGTGTCACCAGCGTGAGTAACTGTGATATCTAATTCAAACAGGCTATCTTACAAACCAGGTAGCTAACAGAACGTGACCATACCGCAATCAAATGTTGACGAGCTGTCAAGACTCCCCATTCACTCGGGCTGCTAGAAGCCATTGTCTACATTCTCCAGTCCTTTTCTCTCACTGCCTCATGCAGGCGCTACTGACAGGAAAAAACAAATGCTGGTGAACTGAGCAATTGTCAACTGAGCAATGCAGGGCAGGGAGGATTCTACAAGGTGCTCACACTGAAACAGTACTGCTGGGGAAATAAATTGCTGGGTGTTGTGAAAGGGACCACTCGAACGTTGAGGTCACTACAAACTCTCATGAATTAAATACCTTAGTAGCATACTGTGCCCACACGGAAGATAATTCTAAGAGGTAAAGGAGAAGGGGAGAAAAACAAACCCTCAACATGGAAACTGTGCTTTAGATTGCCGTGTGAAAAATAATTTAGACAACAGAAAAGTGTTTTCATATGATGGGATGATGATTCCAGAGTCTGTGAGTCTGCAGCTCAATAAAGTCACCCAAGTCCAAGATCAGGTTTTTTCTTTCTTTCTTTTTCTTTTTTCCCTGATGTTGGGGCTTGAGCCAGGACTTTGTGCTAAGTAAGTAAATGCTATACTACTGAGTCACATTTCCAGCCCTAAAACCCCTGTTCTCCAAAATCTCCCTGGCTGTGACTGTTGCAAGCTATATGCCTTTGTTGTCCAGGGGCTGCCTTGGTGATGGGCGTGTGGGCCCAGCGCCTGGGACAACCTGAGAGGCAGGAGTCACTCTGGCACTTTAACAGTCCCTGGAGAGAGCACCAGAAGCTTTTCCTGACTCCCGCCCCGCAGACACAGGTCCCCTCCTAGTCTGGAGGTTAGAAATTGGGAATGAGGATGGAGAAGACCTGCATTTCTCTGAAGGCCCCTGGAGAGGGTCATTTTTCTGTGTCTTCCTAGCTGCTGGAGATCAGCTGGCAGCCTTTGGTGTTTCTTGGCTTGCAGTAGTACAGTGGTACCCTCTACTTTTGTGGCAACACAGCATTCTCCCAGCATGCCCCTGCCTTCACGTGACCTTTTTCTCATGATTGAACACTGATCTGATGGGTGAAGGGCCCACTGTATTCCAGCACTTCAACTAGTTACTTTTGTTAAAAAAAAAAAAACAAGCAAAAACAAACAAACAAACAAACAAACAAAAAAAAACAAAAACCAAAAAAACAACAACCTCAAATCAAAACAGCAGCAACAACAAGAAATCCTGAAAGCTCTGCTTTCAGTTAAATTCACATTCTTGATTCCTGGGAGTGAGAACTGCATTTTTCATCTAGAGGGCACAGTCCACCATCCTGTAACAACTCTCCAGGTACTTAGTGCAGCGTTGTCTGTAGCACAGCATTCACTCTTCTGAGGCTACTGGATGACTGCTTGGATGCCCCAAGACCCCCGAAAGTGCTGTATGTCACAAGTGCTAGCTAGTTCAGAGTGACTGCACACACACACACACACACACACACACTCTCACACGCATAAACACGGACACACACATGCACGCACATACACCACACATAAGCGCCTGCCTGGTTTCCGGTCTATGATTTTAGCCTATGTCTAAGGCACCTTTGTGTGTGTGGAACACAGATATTTGCTTAATGCTTCTTTTCTCCTTTACTGCCTCCTGACGGTTGCTTTCTCTCAGTCAATAACAGGCATGATAGCACCTTACATTTGCATGGAGTGCTGTGGGAACCCCTGTCGGTGTGACCGGTGTGACCGGATGAGTGCTATGAGCCAGTGCTCTGCCTGGCCAAACACCCAGGGACTGCAGGGCGGGTAGGTGAGCAGGGGTGGCTGGAATCTGTCTTTTTTGAGTCACTGTGCTAATAGATTTCCAGTATCGTCCATGCTAGTATCTACATTAGTGGCGTTCAGCCCAAGTTTATATCCAGCAAACACTGGGTAACACCCTGTGGGCAGCAGAAAGTAATGGAACCAGCTTTGTGTTAGCAAGGGGTGAGGCTAGTTGAGCCTACCAGATCTGCCATCATATGTTGGGAAGAACTGAACAGAATTAACAGAAGGCAGTGGAAAGAGACAGCAGATAGGTGTTTGTGTTTACTACTTTACAAAACAACAACAACAACAACAAAGAGCCTCAGATACATAGGCTAACATCAGAAGACCAGAGATACCGTGTGTGTGTGTGTGTGTGTGTGTGTGTGTGTGTGTTTTAGAAATGACATCAGTCCAGGAAAAGGAGTCCACATCTCATTAATGTTTTCATCGAGTTTATCTGTAGACCGTGATGAAATGATACCTTATGCTTCACCGATGTGGGGGGGCCTGGCCATGCCAGCTATTAGTATTAACATGTTTGCATCTGAGCGGTAAGTGCCTGCTACCCAGAACTCTTGAGTTTCCCTCTGCCACAGAGACACCATGCCTCTGCCCAGACATCCTCAGTCTCTTAACCAACCAGAGGGCAAAGCCGTGGTAAGGAAGGAGCTTTGGGCCAGCACCAGCAGATCTTCCCTCGATGGCTACTCTAGCAAGTGCCGAAGCAGTTTGGTTTTCCAGGCAGCTTGACAATGCAAGCCCCATTTTACAGATGGCCGGACTAAGTCACGGAAAGAATTCTCAGGCCTGCTTGGTTTTAAGGGTGTTCACAGGAAATGCTGGGCATGGGAGAT